CCCCCGGGCCCCCCTCGGGCCCACGCCCCAGCTCAGCTCAGCTCGCCCCGGCCCCCGCGCCGGGGACCTGCAGGGTGTTTGGCCGCCAGTGCCACCGTCGCGCTGCTCGCGGGCCACGGCACGTCCAGCCGGTTCCACGCCGCCTCCGGCGCCGCCATCTTCCCCGGGGTGGGGCGGCGCTGCGCAGGGCAGGAGGGAAGCCGAACGCGGGCGGGACCATGTTGGCGGGGGTGGGCAGGCCGGACCAAGTCACCCCGGGGCGGGTGGGGTTGCTGCTCTCCGGGGGCGGCCCTCCAGCCGGGCGGCCCCGTGCAGGGTGCCCGCCCTGGGCTTCGCTGCTGGGTCCCTGGTGCCTGGCGTGCCTTCGCCCCTTCCCCGCACGGCACGGCTCGGCTCGGGTGCTGCTGGGTGCCTGGCGCCGCGGAGGAGAAGGTCCCGGGCCTCCCCAGCCACCCGTGGCCGCGGGGAGCTGCGGGCCGCCCAGGCGGGAGCGGGAAAGCCCCTTTCGGGGTCCCGGCCAAGCACCGTGGCACGGCTGATGCCTGGGGCAGGGTAAAGGCCACGGGGCAGCCCAAAAAACACGGCCCGGGTGTGAGCCCCCCCGGTCGTGTTGCCTGTGAGCACCCACCACATGGCCCGGAGATGCCGGGGCACACTGGCCTGGACACCTCTCCAAGGCCCGGGGCGTGCCTGGCGCACTGCATTCCCAAAACGTCAGAAGTGGGAAGGGAAAGAAATAGGAGTGGTATTCACACTTTTTAAACCTCGCGGTTCTTCAGCATCTGCCCCGGGAGTTCGGGCCGTTCAGAGGCAGCGGGGCAGCAGCTGAGGACCCCTGCAATAGAATTGTTCAGGGGGTGACCCCCGTCACAAGCCATGCAGCCGTCCCCTCCCATCACATCACGCACATACAGAGCCCAACGTGCAAAAAAAAAGCTGGGTAACTGTCCTGGTTAAACCACAACAATAACTTACTTCACACCAGTAGCAATTTGTATTGCATTTTGAACAAGGAAGGGTGTTGTGGTTTAAACCCAGCTGGCAACTAAGCCCCACACAGCCACTTGCTCACTCCCCCCGCAGCAGGATGGAGGAGAGAATCAGAAGGGTAGAAGTGAGAAAACTGGTGGGTTGAGATAAAGACAGTTTAATAGGTAAAGCAAAAGCCGCACATGCAAACAAAGCAAAACAAAGAATTCATTTACCACTTCCCATCAGCGGGCAGGTGTTCAGCCATCTCCAGGAAAGCAGGGCTCCATCACACATAATGGTTCCTGGGGAAGACAAAACACCATAAGTCTGAACGTACCCCACCTTCCTTTTTCCTTCCCCCAGCTTTATATGCTGGGCATGACATCATACGGTATGGAATATCCCTTTGGCTAGTTCGGGTCAGCTGCCCTGGCTGTGTCCCCTCCCAACTTCTTGTGTCCCTCCAGCCTTCTTGCTGGCTGGGCATGAGAAGCTGAAAAATCCTTGACTTAGTCTACACATTACTTGGCAAAAACTGAAAACATCGGTGTGTTATCAACAGTCTGCTCATACTGAATCCAAGACATAACACTATACCAGCTACTAGAAAGAACATTAACTCCATCCCAGCTGAAACCAGGACACACGGGCCTTGCTGCCCTTGCCCTGGGTGCCCATCTGGCCTACCTGGTCTCTGCACATGTTGCTCCCAGCCCCAGCTGTTGGTATTTGCTGTGGCAGGGCCAAAGGGTCAAGGCCAGGCAGGAGTGGGGCCTGTGGTGGATGCAGGTGCCCTGTGGAGTTGATTGCTGTAATGTATTAGTACTCCCAGAATAATTTCCCATCAAATGGGTTGCATTTTTGTGGTCTTCTGTGAGTTCTCCTCTGAGTATAAGACATTATTTCCTGTCTCCTTCCCTCTCTGCCTGAGGTTCAATGTACTCATTTCTTACCTGCCAACATTGGTATTCCAATTAATACAGTGGAGTTAAATTGAGCATAATTTTTGTACAGTCTTATCTTCTCTTTAGATTGCATTTCGTTGTACGCTTTCTGTTTTCTTTCAAGGAGTCTCATACAAATACAGATTAAAGTGATGTCCCTTTAAAAATATAGAGCAAAATTGGCATTAATGATCGCACCTGTGGGGAAGAGAGGTGAGAGCAAACCAAGAGGCAGAACTGATAAACGGCTGTGAAGAGCACTTGCTTGTTGTGGAAAGGGGGGGGTGTTAAACTTCCTAGGCTAAGAGTGGAGATGAGTGGTAAAGGTGAAAATGGAGCCTCCACGGTGTGAGCAGAGGATCACAAAGGTCTCTCTAGCTGAGATTCTGAGGTGTTTTGAACATCCTATAAGTGAGGAGCAAGCCTGGGCTGTCTGCTTTCAGTGTTGCCGTAAAATGGAGCAGTTGGCTCAGGGGCTGTGCTCACCGCTCCATTCTGTATTCATAAAAGGTCCTGGAAGCATCTTTATCCATGCTGATGGTACTGGTTCGTTCAAGGTGTACCACAAGTCCGGTAAGAGCATAGGTAGCTGTGGATGCCAAGGGCTGTTCCTGTAACAGGCTGAAATGTGGGGACAAAGTGGGGAGTTGTTTGGGTTTTTTTCCCCCTCTCCTCTCTCTGTATGTTGTCATGAAGCTATTCTGCTGGCTATACTTAATTTCAAAGGACTGTAGATGAGTGGTAATACAGATGTATGGCCTAGTAATTTTTCTAATAGTGCTCTAGTGAGTCATTTGGTTCTAGGGAATAGCTGGGATGAAAGTTTGTTACCACTTACGTTATTTGAAATAAATAGTTTGGGGCTTTATTATATGTCCTGCTCTGTTCATCTTCCAATGTATAGTTAGGTCCTTTGTTATAGTAACTCTCATGACAGATCTATGATTGACAGTTTCCCTCTTTTGTCACTATGTGTAGCCAGCAAGTGGCAACAGTTTGTCTTATGCACTGCTTGCTTGCACTGCTGTAAAGGTCAATGCTAGGCTAACTCTTCAGGGACAAGAGCGGGTAATAAAGAATGAAGACAAAGATCCAGTGCCTTCCTTGCAGTTAGATATCTATTAGCAAACAAAAAAAGTACCCAGTAGCAGCTAGTTTGGGGCTAATGCTCACAATAAGAGTATCCCGTGTTGCTTTCCAGGAGTCCCCGAATATAGGCCTACTTTCCCCAGGTGGGACTGACATTAGTAAGGGGGGTTTGTTTCCTTATTACCAAGAATTCTTCCTGTTTCTCTCTCTTGACAGGGATTCTAAAAGCTCTTTATCAATGCCTATGCAGTTGTCTTTCTCCCCCTCCCCTCTTTTTTCTGTTTCAGATGTTGGCAGTGTTCAGCAGTCAGAGGACAAGGTAAGCCTGCATCTTTACCTTCGTTATGTGTGCAGGTATAATTCTGCTGTAGCAGAAGGCCAGCTAAGGAGATGCAGATGTCTTTGGAAACTATCAAGGTGCTTAAATTTGCTGTGCCCTGTGAAAGTGACCCTGTCCCCTGCAATCTGGAAAATGAAGCAAAATGCTAGGATTGAACTCACATAAGACAATGGGACTAGGAAACAATGTGCGCAGATGCTGCCTACTGTGGAATAGCCCACAGTCTTTTTGTCTTAAGAAGAGATAACTTAGAGGTGCTAGATAAGGGCATTTAAAAAATCTTAAAACAGCTTATTTAGGGAGTATCTCAGGCTACCTGATGAGCATCTAGCTGCCTTTTGGGCCCTTCTCATCCTGAGATGTGCTGAGCCCTGAGGGGCAGGGGAGGGCATGCACATGGCTGGAAAAGTGAGAGCTGTGAAGTTCTCCACAATGCTTTGTGCTGCACTGCTTTCTTGGTCTCTGTCTGCAGCTGTTGGAGTACTTGGGAATGGTGATCTATGAAGCCCTGGACTGGGGAATCGACAGCCAAGTGGAGCGAGAACTGAGCGATCCTTTGGAGAAACTGCTGTGCCTCATGTTGAAACTGGATGATGAGGCAATGAAACCAGTGGTCACTCTGCAGGATGTTATCAAGGTTTCCTTCTTCCCACTTAGTAAATATAGCAGCTTAGAGGAGTTGATGGAACAATGCTGTTAACCAAGGGGCAAGACCATTTCCAGGAAAAAGCTGGGTAGCTTGTTGGAGGACATAGAGGGAGCACGTGGCCTTCCCATCAGAGGGAAAAGGCAAAACCATATTAGATGTGTGCAGGTGCCTATGGAAAAGAATGAAGAAGGAAGACTGAGCATGGCTTTCACACAGCCACGTGTACAAAGTCCTTCTGTACATAGTCTCCAAATTTGATACTTAGAAGACTATGGATATTAAAAAAAGTCACTTGTTCATCGTATTCATCGTTTCTGCAAGAGCTGGGATTTGAATATCTCAACTCAAACACTTTCCTCTCAACCATAATTTAAAGGTATGAGAAACTTCCCATCCCTCTATCTGATCAGGGCAGGGGAAAAGAACAGAGCAAGTGACTCCACCTGCTGTGGTTTTTTGTGCTTTGTCTGCACTGGAGACTTCCCCTTCCAGGTAGTTATTTCAAAGCACACCTTATGGAGAAGATATATAAATTATATAGCTACTTACATTATTGTACATGTAAGATTGGACATCTTGCTTTGTTTCTCTGCATCTGCAATAGAAAAAAAAGATACCAGGGGGCTGTGAGGAAGATGTTTTTTAGCCATGGATTGAGAAAATTGAATCTTGCTTTATTCCATCCTACCATGTTTTTTCATTTCAAGATCTCTTTTAAATAGCTGTACTTCTTTCAGGCCTGCGAGGAGCACTTGTCCAGGCCTTCTGAGGCTATCAGCCATTATGAAAAGACCTGTAGGAGTCTGTTTACTGAATACATGGAACTTCAGAAGCTTGTGACCATCATCCAGACCTCCAAAGAGGTACATTTGGATCACCCCTTAGCTTGCTATTCCCTTCACACACTCACCTAGTTCTAAAGTAACCTTCCCATTCCACTAGAAATGGAGTGCCTAGCTGAAGGTCTATTTTCACTATGTGAAATGCTGTTGTCTCCACACCATATTAGTAATTTATGGTAGCTTTTGAAAGTTTGGGTGTTTGGGGCTTTTCAGATTAATATTATTAATTCATACTGGATAGACAGGAAATCACTGAGGAGTGCAAGGTAATGACCTCATGTGCTTGCTTCTCAGAGTCTGAGGAAAATGGATGTGGAAGCTTTGGTGGAAAATCCCCTTCAGAAGAAGGAAAAACACTGGGTAAGGGATTTAATTTCTTCATTATGGGAGATTGGGGTTTTTGTCTACCTTGGGTCTCTGAGTCTTTCCATTGACTTCTATGAAAAGTAGAGCTTGAACACAAATTAAATTTCTTAGGTTGTTCAAGAGCTTAAGTAGTTAAAGACTTGTCTGCAAAACAAGCTGGGGAGTGAACCTGAAGTTAAACTATTTTGTGTGTTAACCTCATGCAGACATTTATTCTACACAAAGATTGTCTTTGTGGTTCAACTTAAACCACTTCTAAAAATGAAGTTGGAGGCAGTCTTTGGAGTAAGTGTCTACAAGTAGTTACTCAGGCTGTTTCTTCCTGCAAATGAGCCCCAAACTCTAGCTCTTGGCAGAAACTGACACCTGCCAAAAGCAATCTGTTCCTTTCTGGTACCTGCACTGAAAACTCCCAGAAAACTGTTTTGTTGGTGGTGGTACTGGGGTGGACTAGTTCACTCTTATGTGGGGTCTGTGCTGGTTCAGGGCTGGAGGGGACTGATGGCCAGTAGCCCTGTCCATCTTTGTGGTTGTGCAGCTCCAGCAGCTCAAACAAAGGGGTGAAGGAGGGTGAGGTTGATGTAGCTCCTACCTTCTGCTCACTGCCTTTCTTGTCTTTCCATTCTGTCCTTCCATAGATCTTGGACTGTGTGTTTGGGGCAGAGAAAGCAACTTATTCTGTTCTTTTCAAGGCCCTACACAGTCAGGGCTTAATCAGAAACAAATAGCTCTTCTGGCTGGAGCTCTGCCCAGCATAAACAAATGCACTGTAGTCTGGAGTCTGTGGAGACAAACAGCAAGCCCCGAGAGACTTGTGGGCTTGCTCCCTTTGTCTAAATAGCACTTGCTTTGAAGCGTGCTCAAACTATTCGTATGAAAATGTTTGTGAAATGTGTGTTTGGGCATATTCTCAATTTTGTGATCTATTAAAATAAACTGGCAAGCTATCTCAAACCACAAACTCATCAACTGCTATAGCTCTTTTCTGCAGGGAATACATGAATAAATACATGGGCTTTGCCGTGTGGCCTGAAGGCCAGTGTATTTGGCCTCTGCTCCTTCAGGAGACATGAATTCCAAAAGCAGGATGTCTGTTGCAAATCCTCTGCCTCTAGTTTCCAAGTCCCTAAGCACCAATTGATTGCATCGCTCTGACAAACTCTTGAGTTTAAAATAACTGGGATGCCAACTTCACTGGGATCCCACAGATTAGAGCTGATGCCTTGAGTGGTGCCAAGCAGCTAATGCTCTCTATGGACCGCACTTTTGCATGTTGACTGCTACAAAACAGGCCTTCTGAAACATAGACCACAGCCTGATAGTGTGCAGGGTTGTACGGTTTCAGCAGAGCTTATCCGTACATGTCACAAGACAATCTTCACCTTGAAATCTAAGCAGTGAGACCTCTTAAGAACACAACTGTCTTACCACTCATCTGTTGAACTGAATGCAATATGTTTGGAGTGTTGCAGCATTTCGTGTTGTATTGCCAAGGTGTGGGAAGTTTATGTGGAGTTTGACAATACCTGGGATTGCCCAAGTAGAATAATTGCAGTGATCCAGTCAGTAGGGAAAGAAAAGTATGACTGACCTATATCTGAAAAAATGTTTTGGGTGTACAAGTTGCTCTGAAATGGCCAGCTGAAGGCAATTCTTGTCCTGAAACTAATGTGGCAATAGTACAGTATAGAAGTCTCTCTTCAGGTCATATCTTTCAGTCAAGTTCTGTCACTGTGTGAAATACAACTCTAGGAAGTGCAAATAGGTCAGGATAAGCTATTTCAAAGGCCTCTAATACTGATCAGTTTGCCCAGAGACTTTTGTGTGTTCTCCTATACAATAATAAATATAGTCTAGGAGATATGGCTAGTATATGGTCACTCTTTGACAGTTCTAGTTCTCTGGAGTTGAGGTATGACTGTACCAAAGCCAGGCTAAAAACATCCAAGAAAAAAAATCTATCTCCTTGAAGGCAGCCATCAGTCAGAGTTTGTACAAGACTCTTCTGATATTATACCAAGATATCTGAAGGGATAAGTTGAGAGAAGATGTTTCAGACTGCAGGTGGAAAAGGGAGAGGAGTCTAAGTCAGAAACTTTGTTCTGAGGCAGTTTTCTAAAATGTTTTGCTTCCCTTTCACTGTTTATAATACAATCACTTGTTCTTACTCAATTTGCCGTTGGGATCCAGATAAGCTGTTGACTTAGCACTTCCATTACAATGTTGTCTAAACATGCTATCAAGTTGATTATTTTTTTCCTGTCTTTAACTTTTGTTGGGTTATACTGCATGCCTGAGCATCCTCAGATATTAATACAGGATCAGGATGAGCAGATGTCAGTTACCAGCTTGTACCTCCAGGCTGAAACTGCTAATATATGCTGCTGTGAAGGTTTAAGTAGGAGATCCCTGTCCCCTTATCCTCCTCTTTTGTCTGTGGGCCCTTCAGCCCTTGGTTGGTTGTTTTCTGAAAGTTCCGAGGCTTTTAGTGGTAAGATTTGGGATTTCATTCCCAGTGTTTCCTAGGATCCAATAATATGAAAAAAGTCTGGCACCTGGAGCACTTGCAGGAAGTAGGTACTCAAGAAAATGGGTCTAGCTACCTGGCAGCAGAAGCTGTGTTTTGCTGAAGTACGTTTATAAAGTTAATGACAAAATTTGGGAATGAACCTGGCAAGCCAGCTCGCAGATCCATCATTGTAAATTAACTTCTGCAAAGAGAAGCAATTCTCTGTGCTGGTACTGTGCCCTGATCTAGAAGTGAGTTGAAGGGGGTGTTGAGGACACAGTTCCCTGTTTCTGAATTAGTTCAGTTGCTAAGTGTGCCCTATTACATGAAGGGAGAGGATGCTGCTCTGTGCTTTCTAGCCAGCTGTTGACTTGGCCCTCTCTGGTTTCTCCAAGGCATCCCTGTGGCCCAGCATCATCCGTGAACTACAGAATGGTGTGAGGCTGCGCAAGGCCACTGAGCGACCACAGTGTCACGTGTCTCCAAAAGAATGTATCCGCTCTCCCTATGAATTGCTTTTGGATGATATTCAGCACAAGAGGTACACCCTTCGGAAGGTGAGTGACTAGCGTCAACGGACAACTTTGAAAGCACCTGTTGTACCTCATTTCTAAGCAGTATTTGTTGAGACCTTTTCTCCAAAAGCCTGTCTTTGTCAAAGGTACTTCCAAGTCCAGAAGTGCCTGGGTCGCCCTTTCAGCTGCAGCTCAACATTAGATCACCCTGTTTGTCCACCCAAGTGCTTCACATCCGGTAACTTTTTAAGTCAGGGGTAGCCATGCATTCATGAAGTTGGATGGTAAATTTTTTCTCCCTCCAGGGGTCAGCCACTCTCTTCCCTGCAGCAATTATGCTGCCTTGCACACAACAGTCTCATGAAACAGACCCTTGCCTGCTTATGCTTTCCACCTTGGATGCTTGTGTCCTTCCAGGCTCCTTGAGCTGGGTTGTGCCTGGCATCTATTACTAGTTTCCTTGCCTTCTTGGATGTTGTTGGATGTGTGCAAGTGTAAAAGCACTTCTAAGCGAGTCCTTTGCTCAGCCTGAGGCAGAGGCCTCTAGGCAGTGTACATGAGCTATTGCAGGAGTTTAGTCAGGGTCAAAAAAGCTGACCCTGTTCCAGGGGCATCTGCTGTGCTGACTCAAGTAGTAAGGGGTTTCCAGCAATGTGGATGGTTGCTGAAGATGACCAGATACAAAAATGTCTGGGGTGTCTCTAAAAGCTTGTGATTCTGTTAGCTTGCTGCAGCTTGAGCTGGGAATGATGAGCAGATCTAAAACATTGGCATAAGGCTTTGTGGCATTGGCATGCTTTGCAAACAGACGTCTTGGCAGAAGATGAGACACGACTCTACTTGCAATAAAAAGCGATATTTTAAAAAGTGAAAACTTTGCATACCACAATAGACATCAGCTTTTTTCTCCTTGTTGGCGCTGCTAGAGTGCAGAGGGTTTAAAAGCCTCAGCTAAACCATGCACTTCTCTAACACCCCAGCTCTTGCTTGTCTTGACTGTGGCTCCAGCCTTCAGATAAGGCTATGACATTTCTCTGGAGATGATATCTTGATTGGTATATAAATGAATAGTAGTAGAAAGGAGACAATACCTTGCAATGAACACAAGTAGTTACGATGTACTGTGTATCAATGCACTGTGCAGTACAGAACTGTAACTCAAGGTGGCGGGATGAACTGGGTCTTGATTTTCTTTTTTCTTTTTTTTTTTAATCTTTTTTCTGTGGTCGATGAGAAGCACAAACATGTTTGAAGAGTAGTAGTCAGAAATGCTAGAAGAAAGCGTAGAGTGCTACTGCTCAGGTCTTTGTGAAAGCTCTTAAATGAGGATTTCCCCATCTGCAAAGCTATTTTAAAGCCTCTCTAGCAAACAGTGGTCTAATTTGCAAATGAATGAAAGCACAGCTAGTGTGGGAAGCTGTAGGGTTGTTCTACCTGCACTCCCACGTGTTCTGAAGTTGTACACACAGGGAAAGTAAATGGCATAGCCTCAAATTAGAGTAAGTGAACAAGGCAGCTAAAGACATGCATGTGCAATGTGACTTTTTGGTCAGTTCTCCTCTATGCAGCAAGCACAGGGCTTGATGAGAGAGACAGTCTGCCTCACATGAATACCTGCCCTGCAATTCTATCTTGTTATTATTCCTAGTTTTATGTAGGGCTGTAAGCCAGTCTCTGGGACTCTAGCTTATGCATACAGCTGCCTGCCGCAACAGTTCTCGTTACAGTCTTGTTAACCCATTCAGTTATTCACCTCCCTGGAGCTGAGTTCTCACTGATGAATGTGATGTGACCATGGTGCTTGTCAGGATCACTCCTGACATTAAAATCTTGAGTACAACGTTTTCCAGTGGCTTCTTGGAGCAGTTCATGAGGTGCTGGGGCTAGAAGGCTGTATGCTTCTTGTGCAAGTCTCAGAAGGCTGTGCAGCATTTCTGATTGCCTCTAGCTTGCTGCAGGCAAATCTGTCTCTACCAAAAACCCACGTGGGTAAACATCATCATTCTACACTTCCCAACTCAGCTTTGTTATGCCTTCCCTACCTCCCCCATTCCCAAATCCTGACTTGAAACATTCACTGTGTCACTGAGTGGGAGGGTGTACCAGGAGTAGAGGAAGAACTATTGCTGAAGCATCATTTCTGCTCTTTCAGGTGATCATCGAGCAAAACCACAGGACCCCCAAAGCTGATGTAGCTGCCCCCAGGTCTCATCTAAAGCCTGTAGGTGACCTGGTGCTGCCTCTAATATAGCAAAACAAGATAAGTCTGGAGTTGACAGGACAGTTTCTATGAATATAGAGCTAATGTCTTAGCTACTGGTTTGGATTTGGGAGGGGGATATATTAACCATACTTTTGGGCACACCCTCCTGCCAAAACATGAGGCTAGGAAAATGGGAGGTGACATCATCATAGGAGAAAGATAATCAGTCTCCCTACTTCCTTTGCTGCTTCTTCCATTTAGAACATTTTGTGGTCCTGAAAGCAATCCTGGAGTTCTCAGTTTCAAATCTGAGAGTTGCTAAAGTATTCTACCATGCATTATCTAAAGGTTCTGTCATGTGTCTCTTCTGTGCAAGGCCCAGTGCACTCCTGAGTGAGAAGCACTTGTAAAACAGTGCCATTGTTGAAGGAGTAGTTCTGTCACCACTGGTCTCCTTGCTCTATCCACTGGCTCTTTCTGGTGCTATGCTTTGCCTGCAGGTGCTGGAGAGGAAGCTGAAAGAGTGTGTGCCATGCGAGTCCAGCTGGCATGAACAGCTCATGGCAGAAGTAAAACAACCACAGAACCTTCGATCAGCAGCAGCAAGGGAAAATGGGAGCAGACCCAAAGGTACCTGCTGCAAAGTGACCTGTGAAGCATGCAAGTGAAGTCAGCATCGACTAAAAATAATGGATGGCCTTTGAAATGAAAGCCCGCTTATCTTCTCTATAGCATGTATAATGCAAGGGAGGTGGGAATGCAAATTTTGTGTGATAGAAATGGTATGGCATAAGAATAGTTCTTTCTAGAAAATCTGTTTGTGGCTTATTAAGACTCAAAAGATGTTTCAACTTACCTTTTATTTTTTATGGATGTTCAAATTTGTCTGTCTACTAAGTGAGAAAACAGGATTTTGACCATCAGGCAAAACTAAAAAATGATGTAACTACCAGGACAAACTCTAGCCAAATATCAAATTCTGATGTGTGGGTATCAAATTTGTCATTTTCTTGTCACAGCACAATGTCTTATCTTACTGGTTTGCGTGGGGGTTTTTGTTTCCCCTCTCCCCTGCAGAAATGCTTGTGACACCAAATATTGTCTTGAAATCTCCAAGCGATAGTTTCTTAGCTTTCCAAGACACCAGTACCAAGTTTAAAACTGTCAACACTACAACACAGCAGCTGGGACCAGGAGTTCAGGTAAGGCTTTAAATGAAAGGACTCTGGAGAGGCACAAGTACTTCAGGTATTAGATCTGCACGCACACATAGCCTGGAACATCAGGTTCAAATCCTAGTGTGGGCAATCTTGTCTCTCAAAAGTGAATGAATGTGGTACTATTAGGTTCATTGAAGTCCTTTCCTCTACAGAAGCTCATACCGTATTTAAACACTTCTTTTTGTGGCATGACTGCACATAGAACTTATAGAACCATGGTCTGCTCTGGTTTCTTAAAACTAGATCCTGCAGAAGTTTTAATATGCATAGCAGTTTGGCCAATTTGGGCCAGAACTATAAACACTCTTACCTCACAGGGAGGCATTTGATGCTAGATGTATTGACATATTTGCATTTCATGTGGTATGTGAGCTCGTGGAAGGAAAACTTAATGATTTATTTTCAGGAAGCAACATCACTGGTCAATTCCCACTCTTCTGCCTGTGGAGCAATTTTGGGAGCACCACTCTTCAATAAACCATGATACATAGTCTTTGGGTTCTTTAACTCCTGGCTTGATCATGAAAAGCTTGACTGCTTGGTTCTGGGATTCAGTCTGAGCATATTCAGAAATTCTGTGAACAGAACTGAAGCCCTAACACATCATGTCTAGCACAGATGCGCTGGCATACAAACAGGAATCTGTTTTCTGTAAACATTTCTGTCTGAAATGCAGTTGCTTAACTGAGGAAAACGGATATGAATTAATAAAAGCAGAAAAATCTTAGCTATATTTGGACAAGTCTGTGCTACTTGTAGGAATGTTCAGCATTTGAGAACCCTGTGGTTCATGTATTGCTTCTAAACTAAAGAACCTTCATATGGAGACTAATATAATCAAATTTGTTTTCTGCTTTTCTAGAGAAGCTAGAAACAATGCTGTTGAGATACAGCATTGGGTTTGAATTGGGTTAGCGGCGCACAGTCATTGAACTGTTCTCCGGTGTTGCTACATGTGAGCTGGAGCCAAAACCAAATGGTTCCAGTGTACTCTTGATAGTTATATAGGGTGGATTTTGTGAAGTTGGTTCTTGAACAGATGAAGCTTTGGGACTAGTATCTGCATTGAACTCGGGTGAGAGAAAGAACAGATGAATTTGAAATTTCACTAACTTGGCTGGAGCTTCCTGGTTGTGGGGGCAATTAACTTGGTATTACTTAATGGAATATAAAGTTGCTAAATGTACCACATTGATTTCTCTCTCTGCTCCACTTTTGGCTGAGCCTTGAACATTTCTGGTCAGTCCTGGGTATGCTGGCTTTTGTTTAGCAGCAGCAGCAGCACTCCTGGGGAAGTGGGCTTGGTGTCTTATATGCAGCTAAAGAACATAATGTCCTCTGGCCTACAGGAAACCACTCCCAAGCTGCCTTCCAGCACCTGGCTTGTCTCAACCAGGTCATCACTAGTGTTCTGCAACAGCACAGGTCAGTGTACTTCTAGCTGCACATGTAAACCAGGTGACAAAAGAACAGTCAATGGCCTGCAGGGTTCCCAAAGCCTTTGGTTGGGCTCACTGTACACTTTCTCTCTGATGACCTGAAGACACTTTACAGGAGAAGCTCCAACACTAAGTAAGGAGTCTGGGGACGTGCCCTTAGAAAACCATTCCTCTGCAGTTGACTGAGGCTTGTAGAGCTCCTGCAGCTTCAAAACAATGATAGCATGTCCCCAAAGGCCTAACTGGAATTCACAGTAAAAGCTAAATGAGTGTTCTGAATGTTCAAGTAGAAAGTGCATCACTTGATTTTATTAAACTAAATGGTGCTAATGAAGCCTCATCACTGTCTACTGACAAGCATAATTAGTGTAACCTCTGCTTTTTGTGATCTGAGCTGATGGGGGGGAGCTGTGAGCCTTGCTACCTTCAGAAGGCAGTGTAGTGCTCTTGAGCGTTCAGCATTTGGGGTGAATCCTTAGAAGCTGCCAGTTGGTTTTCTGCACCCTAAAACTCTCTCTTCCTATCCAGGTCTTGCTGCAAATTGCACACATCCTCCCATGAGTGCACCCATACTAGGAGATATTAAACATAATAGTTTCCTGAATGCTGGCCAACAGCAGCTGCCTCCATACAGAGGAAGGTCCAAATCTTTAGAGAGAGGCCTTCAAAGCAAGGAACTTGTAAGTCTGGCATGTCAGCTAGCAAGCCTGGTCTGATACATCTGGTAATGACCAGAGCTTGCACCTTGATCCTCGTGCAAGCAGTAAGCATGTTCTGTGGTTTTTGCCTTAGGCCATATTGTATACTGATCTTAAGTTGGGATATTATTCTTTCCTTGGAGATGGCTTAAGAGAAGACTGGATGCTGCGGTGTCCTTGTGGAGGCTTCCTAGTTTGAATGATATGAAATAAAGTTGTTCCTCATACAAGAAGAGAAAAATACCACTGTATTACTTTAAAGTGTCCATCAAGGCTTCCTCAAGCAGACTATAGTTGGCAGTGGGACTGTCCTGCTTTCTCCATCTCCCCTCATTCTTTCTAGATTCTGATATGTTCACAAATATCCTTTAAACTGCAGTAAAGGGAACAAGTAGTTGACAAAATGTAGATAGCACAGCATCAGTGACTTTTAAATGTATGTGGTACTGAAGTCGTCAGGCTCTGAATGACTGTTGTGGGAGCAATGCTGGGTTTTGTGTGCTTCTGTTCAACCTTCTGAATCATGGCCTCACCCTGTTCTGCCCTGACAAGGTGTGCTGTGCCCTTGCCTCCTCCTTTCCTTTTGCATCCCTCCCTGCCCCACTCCCTGGCAAGTCTCTAAACTGAGCATAACTCTGTGTGACCTCTTTGTTCAGCAGTGTGGTGCGGGATGCAGGTGGGTTGGACTCCTCGCCTGGGGATAAAAGCAGTGTTGTCTCTTTTGGTCAACTACCAGACCACAGCTGCCATTTCTGTGGGGCCTGTGGGTCTTGGAGAGAGAAGGCAAGAGAGTGTTGTGCTGTGGAAAGGGTTCCTGTACCTAGGAGGGGCCAGGGTGCCATCTGTGCTGTGGTCTGTACCAAAGGGTAGAATTGCCCAGAGACTGGCTCTAGAGATGGTATTAACTACTGTGGTGACTGAGGGACCTGCTTCCCTAATGAGGTGTCAAGAAGCTGCTTGAAAACTATAGCAACCGCTAAAACCCCTGTAGTAGTTGCTCTGCTAGTATTCTCAAGGAGTCAACTCATATTCCCCATCACTGGCAAAACTGAGTTTTGGGGACAAATGCTCCTGAGCCTTTTGGGACCCAATTTGGAGGATGATGTCCCCAAATATCTGCTTCCTTCAGCTTTCTCTGATGCTTAACTTCTGTCTTTCGATAGGACTGTCCCTCTTCTACCAAGTGGCCAACCATTGCTGAGCTGATTGGAACCAGATATGCAATGATGATGCTGGAAGGGCAAGGCTTCTTCCAAGGAGGCAGTGATAGTGTCTTTCCAAGAGCAAAGGTATGTTTCCTTTCCTTTTCTTTGTACTGTCCTTGCTTTTTCAAAAGCTGGCTGGCTTCATGGCCCTCAGTGCTGAAATGCTGAGGTACTCTGCCTCAACTTATCCTGTTCATACAGCTGATCCAAGATTGATGCTAGGCTTTAAAAATCTTTTAATAGTTGTGCTGTGGTGGCTTCTAATCAATGTTAAGCTGTAAACTGCCTAGAAAGTAACGCAGCCTTTGCTTGATACTTCTTGTCTGTTACTTCCACGCTAGGAGAGCTGACTGCCATGACTGTTGGCCAGCTCTGAAATCACAAAATAATTAATTGGGATTTGGTACTGTTAAACAGTGAAACGAGGGCTCTTAACTCAGGCTCCCGCACCTGAGTTGTGCTGACTCAAACCACCTTGCTGAGTGGACACAAAGGTTGGGGAGATGAGGACAGGGAATGACCTGCAGCACAGGACTGTTGGCTGTCCACTCTGCTTAACTGCTGGCTTTTTCACCAAGTCTTCTTTAGAGGGAGTGTTGCAACCAGCCCCTCTAGAGCAGATGTTGTGAGTACAAGCCCTTTGCAGCACAGATGTGAGGAAGTCCGTGCTACTTGGCTTAGAGGTCAGCATCTTGCCCTCACTTATTTAGCAGTATAGACAGAGCCAAAGGTTCTACTAGCAGAGCTATGCTACTTGCACAGTCTATCTGATGCTCCTGAGAGTGAATCCTTGTTTTCTTCTCACCTTACTTACCAACCCTGCTTTAACTTGCCTGCTCTCTGCCTGTTCTAAAATGGCTCTCTTACCCTCTTTGTGTTCTTGCTGCTGAAGTTTTTTTAGCTTTCTCAAGCTCTACTTCTCAAGATAATATCACTTCTGACTGCCAGCTGTGTATGAATGTGTTCTTTTTTATAAAGTTCAAGCGACTCATCAGCTTCCTTATGACTCATTTTTTGCTTCAGGATTGGATTCAAATTTGCCCTGACTTAATCTCTTTGGGATTGCTGCAGTCTACCTCAAAGAATGTCTCTCTTCTTCCCTCTCTCTTAACTAGCTACTGTTACACTCTTGCACAATACAGCTATTGTTTGCTCAAGAGCCTTTTTTTAAACTCCTGTTGTCTGGCAGCTGCCCCAAACCTCTGCATCATAAAAACACTGGCCTACAAGTAAGGCTTTTTTTTTTTTGCCTTTTTAGCTTTTATTTCCTGTGTCTGCTATCCTTTATTGGACCTCTGTTATTGTATGTGGATATAAAGCCTTTAGAAGGTTGGTCTATGTGCTTGCTCTTTGGCAGGCAGTGGATACTGTTGGTACAAAGATATTTCCCATTTGCATTCACAAGTAACTTTCCTTTCCACAGATCTGTTTCAGCTGCCATAAGCAGATGTTTCTGAAGTGGCCTTACAGCTGTTACCTCTGCAGCAGGTGAGCTGGTACAAAAGGACTGAATGAGGAGGGAGAAAATAGTTGAAAGAACAGTGCTGAAAATACTCGGTATTCAAACAGTTGTAGTACTGGATAGGAACAGGTTGGTGAACCGTTTGGTTTTGCCTTACTGCAAAAGCCAGGCTGAAGTGCCTACAGCTGCAGAGGATGTGGAAAAACTTGCCTCTGAAGTGGTATCTCAATTTTAACTCTTAATAGCAATAACCAAATTTACTGTGCAAATATTAGATTCAATTTCTCTCAGAGGTCACTCTCTGCATTTTGCTCTAAAGGTTGGATTTAACTTCAGTCAAGGGCATGAGCAGGTTCTGGGAGAGACTTTTCACCAGAATCTTCTGCTGATGACTGAAAAAGCGAACTCCAGACCCTGTGACTGGGAAAGGTGTTGGACCTACTTGTATCCACTATTTGTCAGAGGTTTTCTGATCATAGGAGAGGAAAAGAGGAACTTCAGCCTCATTAAGGCTCACTTAAATATATCTGAAGCAGTGGTGAAGCACTGAATTGATTACAAGCAACAAGTAAACAACCACTGAGAACTGAGTAACTGTCTGGTGGTACTGCTGGGTGAAAAGTAAAGGGCCTTTGCAGATAAAGCCTTCAAGCTATGGATGCTGACACATTTCAGATGATTTAAACTAGGATAAATAGGAGGGCTGGGAAACTGTATAGGGGAGTTCTAAGCTTGCTCACTTTGCCATCAAGTGATTGTGCCACAATCACAAATTAAGACTTACTTGGGAAAGTCACCCTTAGCTGCAATATCAGTATCTGCAGATCTTTACTCAAATGATAATGCTGGGAACTTTTTTCCTCTTAGTGTTGTCTGCGCTGACTGCTGCATCAAGGCAAGTCTAGTCTTTACAACAGTACATGGGTTTTTTACATTTTCTGTTTTCCCTGCATCTCACCTAGTCATAGGAAGCTTTTCTTCATCCACTGATACCTCAAATCTACCCTCTAGCTTGTTTCTAAGAAAATAGAAGAGGGAATATTACAAGGTGCAAAAGCAGCCAGGGTCCCACAGACATCTCTTGTCATACTCAGCTAAAACAGCTCTGGTTCCTCTCTCTTTCATCCTGTGTAAAGTGGTTGGGATTACTCTGTGCTGTATTTACACAAGGGTCAGAAAGTTCACTGCATTAATGGCTATCTTCTAAGTGCACCAATAAATCAATTGCATGTCATGCAAATTTTCATGCTAAGGAGGAGGATGTGTTTCTCTGAGAACTCAGCTGACTTGTCTTGTGATTCTAGATGTCCATGCCCTTCAGAACCTGTGTACATCTCCCACTTCACTTCCTAAAACTTTTGAGACTCTCCCAAGAGGAGGACCCAGCTACTCAAGAACAGAAGAGCTCAGAGCTGCTGCATGAAATAGAGCACTGGGAGCGTTTTGGGTAAGCTGGGACAGGGATACTGCGTTTTCACCTTGAAAGACATTACCGGTTACTTGTATATGCAGGTCTACAAACATGCAGACAGCAATATGTAGTATTATGCTGGTCGGCTGAATGTTATGCTGAATGACTGGTTTAGCCACTGGTCTAACTAGTCTACAGTTCTCTGGAAGTATTGTGGATTTTAGATGACCAAAAGGGAGGATGTGTAGGTGCTCTGAAATCCATTTTGCTTTTTAGTTATCAGGTTTCTGACATGGATTCAGAAGTGTCCATGTTAGTCCAGACATAGAAGGTTCCTTGTGACAGCTTCATTTGTATGAGGATTTCCAGACCCCATTATATTCTATCCCCCACAGCTGGGGGTCTGTCACTACAACCCAGGAGTAGCACCTTTATACCTAGAAATAAACTATGCTAATGGTCTCAGGTATAACTGACTGAAGAGTAATGCCACAAATGGCTTCCTAGTCCCTCTGCACACATAAAGACACCCTTTCCTTTTTGTCCCCAGAAAGGGAACTATTTCAAAAAGAGCTTTTGGTAGTTCTGAGTGGAAAAGACAGACTTTGTGGGTATAAGTGCAATATCTAGGTCTGGAAACATACATTATCTGTTCTCTTCTTTCCAAATTAATTATATATTCTACTGGGGGAACAGGTGTCTTTTCTCTCTGAGACTGTTCTTTAATGTAGCCAAAACAGTGTCACAGCAGTTTCTGGTTCAAAGGCTTGTACTTCTGTTGCCAAAAATCAGGGGTAGTGTTGACTACTGAAGTTAACTGTGTGGGGCAGTGGTTTGGTCTGTCTTATAATGCAGGTGCTGCAGAAGAGGTCTGAGTGACTGTATTACTGCCATACTTCAGGCTGGCAAAAAAAAATCCTACAGCATAAGGATGTGGCCATAACCTTGGATCAATCACAGATACCCATTAGTCCTTTGGCTGACATACTGTCAATAGAGAGAAGGTGTCAGTAAATGCAGCTGTTCTGGTGCTCAGTAGCTTTCCTAAGTGGAGCTGACTGCTCTGTTGAAGTAATGCATTTAGCTAAATCACTTAGCAGTGTTGGATCACATGTGGGGAAGGGTGGAAGAGCACCATGACCTCTAACGGAAACCTGGGTCAACTTTCCTGCTTTTCTTTTTCCCTCTCCCACTCCAGTGTACCCATTGTTTTGGAACCCCATTGCCTAGCACAGCCTCTGTGCTGTTACACAGGGACCATGGCAGACTGGCTGACTGTAGACATCTGTATGCCATGTGAGCAGTGTCTGTTGAATATGGCTTCCAGTCAACAGCAGAGCATCCCTCTCAGGAGAACTTCCTGGCCTTGAACCAAACTGGAATGACTCCACCATACATTTCTCCTGTCACTTGTTCTGTACCTGAAGAAAATGAAACAGCTTTATGTACCTACTGACATAAAGGCCTGAATAAAAGACCTCCCTGCTGGTTAGTCTAAGCAGGAAGCACAGTTAGTATTTATGTATTGTGAAGTATTATAAAGCTTTGTGGTTTTTAGAACTGTTTTAATTCTTTTTATGTGTCTTTGGGGAAAATAAATGTTGAAGCACTATCACGCCTCTAGCATTTCCTCCTTTGCACCTGCAGTTGTCGTTGTTCTGTGGCACTGTTTGCATTCATTGCTGAGCAGACTTCAGCCTATGTAATGAGTAGGGGGAAACTTTTAACCCAAAACCTCTATTCCCAAGAGGCTTGGAAAGTGAGGCTCTCAGTTATGTGATCACATCACCATGCATTTTGTAAACACTTACTCCCTCCTGATAACTCACTAAAAAGCACTTAAAACTCACTGCTGTGATGCCTGTAACACTGTAGTGAAGTCTGTCAGGCAGCTTGCTCAGTCTGCTTGCTTTGGAAGCTAGCTTGTGATTTGTTTTTTTTTCTGTGTGCTCTCTGTGCTTTGCCACCAGAGCTTTCTGGTGCATGTCTCTGAAGTACCTAGTATATCCCAAAGCCATCATCACTTGAGGGGCAGATGGTTGTTCTTGAGATATTCTTGCTGTTTGTATTATTGGCCTTACGTTTTGCCCTGAGCTGAAATGGACTATTACAACGTATGACATTCTAGAAAAATAAAGAATGTTTTGGTAAATTCTTTGTGTGATTAAAACCAAAAATGGAATATTTGATTCTCCTGTTTCTCCCCAGGAATTGCCTGTATGGAACGAGTGTAGGTGCTCTGATAGAGTTTTCCCTGGTGTGTTTTGCACGGCCTGGATAGACAGTGTTGAAGGATACAATGGACTTGTAGTTGGAATGAGTCATGCTGAAGAAAATAATGGCTGAGAAGGGCCAGCTCTTCTAGATAGAGAAGGGAAGAAAGACATGTTTAAGCTGAGCCCAAGGTCTGCATCCAAACTGCCAGAAGGGTCAATACCTCCAGCTGACTTGCACTGGCCCAACTCTCCTTCCTCTAAACTGCCTGTCTGCAAGCTGACACCTACTTGCAGGTTTGGGCAAGCTCTGCAAGTAAATGAATGTGGGGAAGCTGGAGCTTGTGCTTCCTTTTGGAGCAAGTTCAAGTGTTCCTCTTCCTTCAGTCAATTAGAAGAGGTGCAGCCTGCCTGCCCAGGTCCTCTCCTGCATGTGCTAATCGCTGGTGCTGCTGGGAGGCACATCCATATCAGGCAGGTGGGCTCCTTGCAGGCTGCAGGGAATGGCAGCCAAGCCACAGCTGCGCTTGCTGGCAAGATGGATGCAAGCATGGGGCCGGGGGCATTGAGGTGCTCTTGGACGCTTGCTGAGTGAGGTAGTTTAGATAGAGCTAGAAATGAGCTGAGATCAGCCTGCTTTGATTAATGTGCAAGCCCAAAATGCATCTCAGAGCCTGGGTGCAGCAGTCCAGAGAGAAGGTGTCTGTATGGCACTGAGGTAGGCTTCAGCTTACCTGGAGAGCAAAGGTGGTTCTAGGTTCTGCCTCTTGCAGAAAGCCACGTGGGCTTTTTTAACTGGCTTCCCCTTTTCCTGTGTTGTTTGTGACCATGAGTCGGGTGAGGAAATGCCCACACTGCAGAACAAGCAGGCAAAGGGGTAGAGGGTAGATGCTCAGGGATAGGCAGGGAAGGTCAGACTGTCCCCTATCTATTGAGCTGTCAAGAAGACCCCTGTTCTCATCACTCTACTATACTGGTTGCATTGGCCCCTGAGTGAGTGGGCTAGTAAAACCTCTGTTCCCCTGCACAGGAGTGACATCTAGTACTTCTTCAACTCTGGCATGTAACCATTGCTCCTGACCAAGGCAAGTCATGACAGCTTGGGGAGCCAGGCTTACCAGAAATGTACATCTGTTTAAACACAGCCAAAAGAACTTGGTCATCTCCTTTCACTGGCCAAGGAGAGCCCTTTGGAGGGAGCAGGGCCTAGGCCTTACCTGGGAGCTGCGGAGTACAGGGTGGAACAGGCACCACACAGGCAGCCTGAGGCCAGGGTGCAGAGTGGGAGACTCCTGGGTGGAACAGATCTGGGACCAAGCCTTACAGGCACCAAGAGCAGTGCTTTCCAGGGGCGTGGAAGTGACTGTGCAAAACCTGTTCTGTTTGGAGCCCCTCAGAGGTGATGGTTTGGAGGAAAGCCTTCCCTCTGCAAGCATATGGCAGGATTTGATCTATTTTTTAGTCTTTTGCTGGTTCCTCTCATCATAAGGACCAGAGCCTTCCCTGCTGAGAGTCAACCGATTCTAGTTACTAGTGTTGTGTTTGGGTGAAACTTGCCTTTGGGCAACTGGGGACCTTTTGGTATTCTCCCACCACTGCAGAAAGCAGTCTGTCTCCAGGTTCTGGCGTTGAGTCCCTTCACACAGCCCATAGCACCGTAAAGCACAGCTGCAGTCCTTGGTCCTATCCCAGTAGTGGATCACGACTGAAAAATGGGAAAAGAAGCCTAATTATTATTACTGGTAATGGCGAGGAGCCTGAACAGGGGCCCTGGGAGCAGAGGAGGGAGATCTATCCAGGCGAGCTTACTTCCCCCTTGTTTCCTCCTCGGGTCAGCTCCGTGTCCACCCATCTCTGAAGCCAGCGAGGGGCGGGCAGGACTGAGGTGGGCCGCCTTTTATTTCAGCACGGGGCCTCTGAGGAGTGACCCGCCGAGCACGGCGGCTCACGCCAGCTAGGAGCCCGGCTCCGGAGGCGACGAAGCTCCGCGCCTCGCCTTCGCGCCTGCGAGCGGGGCCCAGCGGCCCCGGGGAGCCCGCCTGAGGGGGGAGCCCGCCTGAGGGGGGAGCCCGCCTGAGGGGGGAGCCCGCCCGAGGGGGGAGCCCGCCCGGGCGAACGGCTCCCGCC